ATAATGAATAATTGAAAACGTGGTTAAGATAAAAAGTAAAGAATTAGTAATAATTAACGTAACAGAGCGATTTTAAATAATTTTAATACCTAAATAAATTTATAAAATGAGTAACTTCTTGTATGTTAATATTGATACAGATCTTTGTTGATCTTAACATGAAAATAATAATATTACCTATAATACATATACTCATATTTTTTATAATTAAATATGAAACATATATATAATTTATTTAAATAAAAATTGTTAAAAATATAATAATACAATTACCTTAAAATTCTTTTACAATAATAGATGTGAATATTGCAACATTAATTTTTAAATCCTTATATACATTATCTTTTATTATTTCTTCAAATGGTGCAATATAATCATCCCAAATGTTACTTTCACTTTATTTACCCTGCAAATAATTTAACTAAAATTATAATACTTTTAAATTAATAATAACTTTAAAATAGATGTTTATACATCATGTCTTGTAATTAAAGCGTCATGACATTAATCTTTCCTTGAGTAGTTATTTTTTCTTCAATAGAACTTCTGTGTATGACCACTCCAATCACATCTATTCATAAAATAAATAATTTTAAGAAACTAATTGATAAATTACATACAAATTATATAACAAATTTTAGTAAAGTTTTATAGTAAAATATCTATTAAGATATTATTTCTGTAGCGACTTTCAGATCTTCAAAGTTCACAAACTCAAACATATGAAAAGAAATTATGTTATCATCATTTACTCCGTCCTATGAAAGCATGTATGTAATTGTTCTATAGAAAAAAAAAAGTTAATCAATTAAAAAATAATATAAAATACAACATAATTATATTTTATTAAAAATAATAAATTTTTTATAAGAAAAATACAAATCTAATACCTTTTCATCAATTATTACCATATCAGTACTAATTAACTCTTACTTGCGATATATATTTAGTGCATCCCACAGTTGTGATATTCATACTTTTACCAGTACTAATTAACTCCAATTATCTGTTGTTGAATTCAGATCCTTAAGAAAAGTTCATTTATCTTCATTGGAACTTGTTGTTTTCCTATAAAAGCATGTGAAACACAATTTAGTGAAACAAAAAAGAAATATCAAACTTAAAAATACATGTACTTACATAGATAGGTAATTCTTGACCGCTGACATAATTACTAAATACAAAGAAAAAAAGATGACAATAGAAAAAACCGTGAGCAAGTTTCAAAAGTTGTGTAAATAACTAAACATAACTTATATAAGTAGATATGAAAAGTCAATAAATAAAAAATTAATATAATAAAAATTATTTTTTCATTTGTATTGTAGTTAATATTGAAATATATATATATATATATATATATATATATATTTGAATATGTAAAAAAATTATTAAAAATTTTATTTAACATTTTTTTACTACAAACTAAATATTAGTCGTTGAAATATAAATAAGATATAACTAATTAATAAAATAATTCAATTAAAAAGTAACTCAAAAAATTGTATAGATATTTTTTATTCTAGATTTTTAGCATAATATAACCATCAATTTCAATAAACTCTTCTTAAATATATTTCAGTACAAATCAGATATAATTTTAAATTGTAAATTATAAAAAGTATTATAATTAATTTTAATAAATGGTAATTTAAGGTTGTCGTTTGTAACATAATATAATCATCAATTTTAATAAACATTCTTTAAATACAATTTAAAGATAATAAGTATAAATAAATTTATAAGTTATACAATTTAAATTTTAATGTATAGAATAATAAGTAGGTATACAGTTTAGTTTTATATATATATATATATATATATATATATATATATTGAATTGATTTTTAGATAAAAATTTATGCCATCTGATTATTAAATTATAACATGTTTCAGTTTAGATTAGTTCAAATAAATAAGTAAATTTAATTCAATCAGATATATTTAATTAGATTGAATTAGATAATACGGTTTTTATAATTTAATTTAAAATAATAAAAAAATAAATTTTTTTCATACTAATTTTAAAATAAAATTAATTTTTATATAAAATATGATATATAAAAATATTTTTTTAAAAATATATTTATATAATTATAAAAATAATAAAACATATTTATAAAAAAAATAACAATATGATATATATTTTAAAAAATTATATAAAATAGTTAAATATTCTAAAATTATTAATATTTAGTCTTAAAAGTACAAATGTGATGTTAATTTTATAAATAAAATTTTATATATACACGTATAAATTCAGTTTGGATTGGATCAGTTTTTAAAATTTAATTTATTTCAATAAAAATATATGAATTTTTAGTTTGTTTGATTTTTGGTTAATTTAATTTAACTTTTGATGTCTGTATTGGATTGGTTAATTATACCCATAATGTTTATGGGGTGTTTGCAATTTAAATTGATTTTGAGATTTTTTTTATTTGATCATAAATAAAAAATATACTTTATTTTGGATTGGTGCTAAGAAATGGTTAAAATTGAAACTTTTTTTAAAAAAAAAAAATTTGAAGGAGAGAAGTTGATTCTCATGTCAAGATAAAAAAAAATAGTGAGACTCAATTATAAAGAACTTATATTTAGTTTAAGGAGATGAGTGGAAGATGAAACATACGACTGAACTAATTAAATCTAATACTTTATGATTTGGATTAGATTGTTGTATCAATTCTTGGCTTGTTTTTTTACACTCTTTTAAGAAACAATTTAATTTGATTGATAAATAAATAAAATTTTTATTATTTAGACTGTAAATAGAATCTTAAGCTAATATGTGTAAAAAATAGCGATTAATTTTTTTTTTAATCTTGAAATGATATTTATTAAATAAATAACAAAAATATAATAAATACAAAAAAAAGGCGTCGTTAAAAGTATTAAATCATATCATAAATCACAATTTAGTTTAAGTTATAAATTATAATTTAAAATAATCTAATTTTTTAAGAAAATAAAATATACATGATAAAAAATATTTTAGGTTAGTAGTATATATGGATGAAATAGAAAATAATATAAATATAGTATGTTTCAAATTTAATTTAATTTTAAATAAGAAAAATAAAATAAAACTAAATCACAAAAAAGTTATTTTTTTGAATAATTATAATTAATAATTTATTTTCAAATTTTTTGTAAATTGGTTTAACAATTTGGACCAGTTCTTAAATTCTTTAGCAGCACACACAGATTGGGTTCCACAGTCTCTGAAAGCAGAGGCAGTGTTTGAAATTTAAAATTTAAAACATACAATAAGTTATTAACAAATTTATAGGCAATTTGTTTAGCAGCACATTGGTTCCATATTCTGTGTCAAAACAGAGGCAGTGGTTTAGACTGAAAACGTCAAAGTTGTTAACAAATTTTGAATAGAATTAAAGTCCCTTATTTGTGTGAATGGTTCCAGAGTCTACGTGTCAAAACACGGCATAATTAAGATTGAAAACGTCAAAGATTATCACTAATTTTGAAAATAATTTAACTCCCATTTTTGTTTTATTTGTGTGAATAGATTCGTCACCAAAGAATTTAAATTGGAATCAGCAACTATAATAGTTAAATAAATGTCACAATATTACCTGAAAATAATAACCACAATTGTGATTGCTCCAAACCACATTTGTTGCAATTTTTAGCAACTATTATATTGATAATATAACAATTTAAGGCATTGTTTGTTGTAAATGATGAAGCGCTTGAGAATAGTAACAGTTGATCAAAAGAAAGCAATAAAATTGTTTTTCTAGACCTTTTTTCACACTGTGCTCTCCTTTTTCATGGTAAGACAAAAATATAAGACGAAAAAAAATTGCTTGTGTTCTAGTTTTTAATTTTTCAGCAGTTTGTTCTATTTGATAACAATATTTAAAAACATTTTTAAAAGTTAGTATATAAAATAAGAATAAAGAAAATAATTTGTTCTTCTTTTAAAATATAAAAATACTTTTCAAATTTTATTTATTAGAAAAAAATTATAAAAAACCCATCAAAATTTTTTTTTTGAAGACAAAAAAATAATTTTTTAAAAATAATTATCACACAAGCTCTTAGTTCTCACAGAAAAGGAACATGTGCAATTGAAAATCGACTCGCATGCATTAACTATTCCTATTCGTGTATATTTGCATGTTATATATTTTACAAATATTTATTAAGAGTACGATTCGTTTACACGTTAAAGTTAAACATTTATACTATTTAATAATTTTTTATAAAATATAAAATTAATTAATTTAATTATTAGCTTTGAATGTTTTTATAAAAAAAATTAAATTTATGAAATTTTATTAAAAATAAAATTAATTAATGTTGTGTCGCATTATTTTATTTTAATATATATTAAAATATAAGTAAATATTAAATTTTAAATAACATAATTTTAAATGGTTAAATGTTAAAAAATTTAATATATATGATCATAAGAATAATATAAAATAATTTAATAGTTGGATTAATTAATTTTATATTCTATAAAAAGTTATTAAATAATAAAGTGTTTAAATTTGACATATAATATTACTGATAAGTCGTTTATCAATACATATAAAATGTAAAAATATAAATTTTAAAATTCTTTAATAAAGTTAGTTTTGTAATAATAAAATTAGAAAATAAAATATTAAATACAGACATTTTAACATTTTAATTTTAAAATATATTAAAAATTAATTTAGGCATAAAATATTGATTTCATGATAATGTATAAGTATTTTTGCTAGTTAATTTATAAGTATTTTATTAGTGTTGATTAAAGAAATTTAAATATAGACTAAAACATTTAAGGGGGTATATAAATTGGCATCAGCAACTATGCTTTTGGGTCAATAGATTGCAAAATATAGTAACCGCAATCATGATTTAATCAATTATATTTATTCGCAATTATGTTGAGGAAATGTTTCTTGGATTGGCCATGCCATGGAGCACGGTTTCATACATTAGCATTAATTAGTATAACCAACAAACAAGAAATTAAGAAGGCTCTAAGCTGTCTGAACGATGCTCTCAAGCTTTGCTCTCAGTTCTTTTCTTAATATCTTTCCGGATGGAGACTTTGGAATTGCATGAACAAAATACACTTTGTGTAGTCTTTTATAAAACACTACCTGTTCAGAAAAAAATACCTCATGTCATTCTCTTAATTATCAGCATGCTGCATGAACTAAGCATATAGTAATTTCCCAAAATTTTTTGTTATAAATATCTGAAATAAACATTGAGAATTTTGAAAATGCAAAAATAATAATAATATATCATGAAACTTGAAATTACATAAAACAATGTTATATGTGTGGCTTATCCAGTATACATCGTACCATTCAATTATATTTTCTTATATTATTAAAATATTTATACCTTTTAATTTTTTATTTTAATGATACGATGGTATAAATAATCAGGTGTTAATAAAAAAAAAAACCTTACGTTGATATTAAATCAAAATTAAAATCATACATACTTAGAATGCTTGTAACTAATGCTGAGATTATTGGATTTCAAATGTACCTGTTTAGCTATAAAATCCTTCACAGCCTCTTCTGTAAGATCAAAGCTCACGACGAAAGCAACCGGAACTTCACCGGCAGCATCATCCTTTTGCCTGTTTAGGTTGCATTGAGAACATGATTAGTCGATCAGAAATTGTAAGAATATGATGAAAAATTTTAGTACTAACTCGTTTCCTTGATACTTACGGGACAACAGCTGCATCTGCAATGGAAGGGTGGCTCATGAGAAGGCCTTCCAGTTCTGCTGGCGGCACCTAATAATAGAATATACGAAAGAGTAAGAACAATTTATCGTTATAAGTATTTTGAATCTGGTCCTATCTAAGTTTAAAGGAGATAGTGAGTTTTTAAGCTTAATTATTTGATTATTTAAAGTGTCTCAGAGACAATTTAGATTTGTTACTTTCTCACGATTTAAGCAATTTAAATTCATATTTATTGCTAATACAACAATGTAAAATTTTATCATATTTATAGTTCCTTTCAAGCCTAATTAACTTGGCCTGACTTTTAATGTTTTTAAGTTTTTAAGTTTTTTTTTTAATCTTAAACTTATATTTTTAATGTCAAGATGGCTAGTCTTTCTTTTTGGCTTGACCTTTTTTTGTTTTTTCAATTTTTGGTCTTTCGTTTCTTTTACCGAACTCTGATATACACCGTATTAGATTTTAGAGCATGCACCCGATTTAAAATTTGTAGAGATAGTAAAAGTTAAATTTGAATGATTTATTTTTATTTAAAATATCTTTTATTTATTATTAATTTATCAATTTAGAACTTGATTATCTTAACAATTGTGGGGAGATTTATTTAATTATTTTTGGTGGGTAAATTTTGCAGGCATAATTAAGAACACATATATACCTGGAAGCCTTTGAACTTGATGAGTTCCTTGACTCGGTCAATGATGAAAATCTCATCATCGTCATCTACGTAGCCTATATCACCCGAATGAAGCCAACCATCAACATCAATAGTTGCGGCGGTGGCCTTCTCATCATTCAGGTATCCTGAAAATTTGAGTGCGTGTATGATGAGTTACATATCTATCTACATATATGAAAAAGAAGCATATATAATAGAATATAGAGATATAATAGAGAACCTTTCATGATTTGTTGGCCTCGGATACAAATCTCGCCAGAGTGGTTACGAGGAAGGGAAAAACCACTTTTTGGGTCAACGATCTTCAACTCTGCATTTCTGACCACAGTGCCGCATGACCCTGACTTCGTTGGGATTGGCTGCTTTGCGAAGCCCATACTCATAGCCAACACGGGCCCAGCTTCTGTCATCCCATACCCCTTTACGTAACATTCATATCATTAGACATCAATTTTCAGATGCATATAGCAAGAGGCAAATAGAGTGTTAAAAAGGTTTCGTTATTCAATTTTTGTAACGTGTGTCAAAAGTCACGTAAATCGTTAAATATATTTTATTGAATATTTTGAATTATTATAAAAAGTAATTATAATTCTTTTTTATGATTTTAACTTCTTAATTAATATGAGTCTTTAATTAATTACGTACGTGTTAAAAAAAATAGAATTTTAAGTATAACATCATAAATAATAAAAGCCAGCTGTTAAGTTTTATTATTTAAAATGATTAAAATAAAACTTCAATCTTAGCCTCAAAAATAGGCATATTATTAGCAAGATGAGTTTTTCATTCAAAAGGCAAAAAGCGGGGTGACGTAAGGTTATTTACCTGTCCAAGAACTGCATGAGGCAACCTGGTTCTGAGAGCATCTTCAAGGTCCTTGCCAAGGGGTGCAGCACCAGACATAACCAAGCGAATAGAGCTAAGGTCATAGTCCCCAACAGCAGGGTTCTTAGCCAGAGCCACAACAAGGGGAGGCACCACCATCGCCACCGAAACCTTGTGCTTCTCTATGGCTTCCAACAATCCCCTTATCTCAAACCTCTCTATCAGCAAAATCCCACTTCCCGCTCTCAAAGCGCACATCATCACGCAGTGCATAGAGAATATGTGAAACAGAGGAAGAACACAGAGCACAACGTCCTCTTCCTTCATGTACAAGTTCGGGTTCTCTCCCTCCACTTGCTGCGCTACACTCGTCACCAAGCTCTTGTGCGTCAGCACCACCCCCTTCGCCAGCCCCGTCGTCCCAGACGAAAAAGGCAGCGCCACCGGGTCCTCCGCCGCAATCTCCGCCTCCGGAACCTCTCCATCTTCCGTTTCCCCAACCGTCCAGAACGACAAACAGTTCTCCGGCGGATCGTCCACGGTAACCACCTCGTAACCCTCCCCGAGCTTGAGCTTTTGCACGTAAACGGATCGAGTCACGACGAGCTTGGCTTTGGAGGCATCGAGTTGCTTGGAGAGTTCAGCGGCGGTGTAGAATGGATTGGCGGTGGTGACGACGGCGCCGAGCATGGACACCGCCATGAATGATAACACGAACTCGGGGCAGTTGGGGAGGAGAATCATGACGACGTCACCCTTTTTGATGCCGAGTTTGGACATGCCGGCGGCCACCTTTCGAGTTGCGAGATGAGTGTCGGCGTAGGTGAAGGTTCTGTCGCCGGCAATGAGGCATGGCCGGTCGGCGTGTTGGGAAAGCTTTTGGAAGCAGAATGTGTGGAGTGGGAGATTGTTGGGAATGGGTATGTCTGGTAATTTTGATTTGAAAATGTGGGTAGTTTCGAGTTTTGATTGGTTTAGCTCGGTAGTGGTTGTTTTAGGCGTGCACAATGGTGTGCTGTGTGAGGTTGCAATAGAAGTAGCTGCTTCTGACATCTTGGTTTCGATAAGTTATGAATTTGTTTAACCTTATAATAATTCACAAGTGAATAAAGTGTGTTTGCATGTGTGGTTTGAGGGACCAAAATGGAGAAAAAGAACAGAAGAAAGCAACCAAGCGAGAGTTTAATTTTGAGGAAGCGATTATTATGGGAGGGAGAGTGATATGAAGAGTGATGAATGAAACTTAGAGACATGTGTATATATATATATATATATAGATTAACGAAGGGAGCATGGGGAAAATGAATTGATAGATGCTGTATTCCAGGTAGGTGGGTGACCCTACGTAATATTTAACTGTTGAGGTGAAGTGGGGTAGATATATGATGTATGCGAATTAAAGGGATTGTTTTACATAGAATTGAAAGTCTCATTCAAAACCAAGCTTTGTTTCTCCCTGTTTTGATTTCACGTCTCTATTCCTTGAACCCACCATTTTTCAAAACGCTACACAGTATGGCGTCCATAACTTTGACGCATGTCTTGGGGTCTTCAAACTCGAATACAGACAATACCCTCGTGGACGAGTCCCACTTTAATCCACCTAACCTTCTGGCGTTCATTCTTTACCCGTATTCTTATTTTGAACACTCTACAGTCACAATAATAATTTAATTAGATTACATGCAAAAATTTTTATACTAGAGTAAGTCTAAATTTTTTTATAATTAATTAATCATAACTTTTATTTTATTTATATTTAACAGATTATAATTTATTAATTATTAAATATAAATTACATATAAAATTAAATCAAATATAAGAGTTTTTAGAAAAAGATTCTTCCTATATATATCTTTTTATATTAATGTAAGCTTAAAAATTTTTATATTCAATCTTAACTTCTATGCTAGTATTAAAAGATTCTGTCTCTATATATATTCATAATTTTTTAAAAATATTGTTTATTAATTAGTATTTTGATTCTTATTTATCTATTCAAAACTTAAAAATAAAACATTTTTAGTTAAAAAATGCAAAAAAGATATTCAGTTTTATAAACTTTACTATGTTTTTGTAAAAAATTATTATTTACTAATTTCTTAATCAATAATGAGATTCATACTTTATTTATTATATTTAATGTTTTATAAAAGTAAAAGAGTATTGATGAAAAATAATTAATATTATCTTGAAGATAGAGAGAGGAGGGCGCGGGGGATAGTATTCAAAATTAGTTTACACACTCAGAGTTTCATTCAAAATCAACCATCGGATATATCAATTATTTAATTGAGGAAAGAATGGTAAAAAAGAGAGGGTAAAGACTCCTTAATTCCAAAAAATAAGGAAACTGAGGGGAAAAGGAAATAATTAAGGCTCTCGTCATCTGGTAATATTCTCCTATGTTGTTAAGTTTTAGTAATAGAAAAAATATAGGTATATTTATTTAAATATTCTTGTGTTATATTTTAATTATAATTTAATTTTATATCAATGGAAAATTGTATTCAAATTTGTCACATAATAAACTTTTAATCAAAAAATGATTAAAAACATTTTAAAAAATTATACTTTCTACGAAAAATAGTAATTTCAGTCTTTAAAACTGAGAACTAAGTAACGAAAAGTGATAATATTTTATTTAAAAAATCATTTCTTATTTTAAGAATATAAATATTGAAATTTTAATAAAAATTTATTATATATAAGTGTTAAACTCAATCGTGGAAACTGAAGTTAAAAAAAATTGTTCACTATAACTATGAATAAATAATTTGATCTGTGATCTTAAATTTCACTATAACGAATGAATAATAATTTGACTTATGATCTTAAATTTCGAAAGAAGCCAAGAATGTTCACTACAACGAATGAATAATAATTTGACTTATGATCTTGAATTTCAGAAGAATCGTCTTTGTAGGAATGGAGTTGAGACGAGTCAATAGTGTCCTAATAGATCGCCCTTTTTCCATACCACGTGTTCGTCTTTTTGCCATTTTTGGGGAAATGCTTAGTTGAAAAAGCCAAAGCCCAAAGGCGATCAATGAGGAAGGGGCGAAAGGCCAATAACACACGTAAGTAGCCAGCAGACACAAAGATGGCCAGTGGGTCTTGGCAAATCTAATTGAATGTAGATTATGGCAGAATATCTATTTCACAGTGTTAAAATATATAGTAAATTTGACGTTAAACTAATCATCCCACTATACATTGGGCCGAAGGAAAGATTTGCTGTAGAATTTCTTGTGTCATGTCGGATCAAAGTCAACAATCGACGGCTTCAAAACTTAACATTATTGAATAGAAGATAATAATTATTTTATATTTAAGAATTCCAAGTGTTATGCTCGTCAATCTTGAAGAGTTTTCTTTTTCAGCCAATCAGAATACTTCATCAAATACATTGCTCAAACTCTCTAAACTTGAATCAAATCATTTTTATACCCGTCCTACACTTCTATCACTTTTTTTTTTTTATAGTATTTATACATTTATAATATTTAATAATTTTTTATACAGTATGATGTTAATTAATTTAATTGTTAGTTTCAAAGTTGTTATCAAATAAAATAATATTTTACATAAAATAAAATAAAATTTTAATGTGTATATGTTTTCAAAATATAAGAAAATATATCAAATTTAAAATAATATATTTATAATTTTAAATTATATAAAATTTGATATACATGATAATAAAAAATAATATAAGATGATTCAATAATTAGAATATTAAATTTATATTAACTTAATTATTTTTTTCCTTTATAAATATTAAAATTTTATGATAAGTTTTTATAAAATTTTTTGTTAAAATTTAGTTTTTAAAAATTAAAAAATTAAGATTTAGTCTATCATTAATTTTTTTGTTAAATGTTAAGCTTACTAATAAAGAGTCAGTATACTCTCAATGTCATATCTTTGAACACATGATAAGTTTTTTTTTCCTTTTCTCCAACCTTTCTTCTGTTATTCAATCCTCACCCCTTCCCATCTTCCACCCCTCACCCTTTCTCCTCTCCTTCTGATAAGTTCATATTTTGATATATTTTATGACTTATATTTATACATTTAAATTCTATTTCATATATATTTACACTTGTATTGGATATGACACTACTCGATCTTACTTATAGAAAGAGAAAATTGAATACATACTCGGCCTACGAAGGATGAGTACATAACAAAACATAATAATTATAAATTAATTATAATTAATAAATTATTGATCAAGATCAGGGCTGGCCTACAAGGCCCATTAGCCTATAATATCTCATATAAAAGGAAGGTAAGAAACATAGGTAAAAGGGAGATTTTTAATTAAGCAATTAAGCATTTACTGCTTAAAACTGAGACCTAACTTGAGCATCGGAGTGCCTTTTGTAGGTACCCTCCCTATGTCACACAACATCAGCAAGTTACGGAAGGACGTCATCTTATCCAGACAGATACTTGAAGACCAGTGTTTCTACAGCAGGATTATTTTGGCGCCCATCGTGGGGCAATAATTGCCTTACTTTTTCAATCATTATGGTATTAACAAGAAGCCAACAAGTGGGGCAGAATTATCAAGGAGGAACTTCTCGTCAACAGGAAGATGTGGCACCCAATCAACCGATCCCTGAAGTCGCGACCACGAGAGGGGGGATGAAAGCCTCTTTTTTGTAGTAAGACAGCTTTAGGCCGAAATGAAGGAAATGCAACAGGCTAGAGAGAAAGATGCTCTGGAGATGTCAGCTTTAAGAAGGGAGAACGCTAACTTGAGGGAGGAAATCAAAACTCATATACCTTCTCAGATTACCCCCTCTGCTCAAGAGCAAGGAGAGTCTTCGGCATTACAGGGAAAATCCAAGGGAACTCTACAAGTTGAAACCCCTATTGAACGGGGTGACGGCCTGAGTTTGAGCCCTTTTACTCAGTTTATCTTGGAGGCCAAGTTACCTGATAACTGGAGAGGTTTAACATTAGAAAAATATGATGGAACGTTTGACCTAGGAGAACACTTGGATATTTTCATGACCCAAGTCGTCCTGTATATAGAAAATAACACCTTGTGGTGCAGGATTTTTCCCACCTCGCTTCGAGGACCAACTCTCAGTTGGTTCACCCGGCTTTCCCCTTCATTTATCGACTCTTTCGCGACTCTTACAAGACGATTCAACATCCAGTTTGCCACAAGCCGACCTCACCTCTTGACATCCCTAGCACTTGTCAACATTCGTTAGGAAAAAGGGGAATCACTCTGAGCGTTCATGGAACGATTCGGCAAAGTGACCCTTTCAATCCATAATCTGGAACCAACCGTGGCCATGCACCACCTTACAATGGCCCTTAAGGCAGGATCTTTCGTTAACAGCATATGCAAAAAACCACCAGCTGACCTGGATGAATTGAGGAGTCGGGCCGCAAAGTATATGCAGATGGAGGAATTGGCTGAGTACCGAAATCAAGTTCGGACGGACCAGGGGTCCAATTCGAAAAATATAGATAAGAGACAAACTTTCAAATCTCGGCAAGAAAACAAAAAAAGAAGAAATAAGCTTGAGAGGCTGCCCAGAGGGCCCAAATATTCCTCCTACACTACACTCAACACTAACCAGTCCAGGGTACTTGATCAGGCCTTGGTGACAGAAATTTTGAGTATGCCCAGGCGCGCCAATACCCCCCTCGGGCAGACAAGAGCAAATCTTGTCAGTACCATCGTAATAGAGGCCATACGACAGAGGAATGCACGGCCTTGAAGGATAAAATTAAAGATTTGATCAAAGATGGACACCTCAGAAGGTTTGTCCAAACAAAACCTTCCTGTCATTGTAAAAGGGGGCGAGACCCCTACCCCGATTCATTAACTAGATACCATAATAAACAACCCAAAAGGCAACGAAGTCAGTTAAGGGAACCCCCTAATACACGATATGATGAACGTGAGAAATATCCTAAGAAGGTTATTAATACCATTGCGGGTGGGTTTGCGGGTGGAGGACCCACCCATTCGGCTAGAAAAAGACATTTGAGGCAAGTACGATCCGTCAACAATGTGCCATTGG